CGTCTTTGTGCCAGAGACGCTGTTCTTGTGCGGTAACCTTATCGATCGATTCCTTTCCGCACGCGTCGTTTCCCTTGCAAAGTTGCAACTAGTCGGTATCACTTGCCTTTTTGTCGCGGCAAAGGTTGAAGAAATTGTGGCTCCATCCGTTGCGCACTTCTTGTACTGTGCCAATTCTTCGTACACTTATCTTCGCCAACGTCTCTTGTTGAAAACGGGAGGGCTCTCGTAAATGCTGCGTGTTATTCAAATGGTTGGGTGAACACCAGTGCGAGTTTTGGCGAATACAACTTTGGTGCGCACTATCTGTCCTCGTTTGGGTATTGTCAATGAACTGAATTCATTCTTAGACCTTTCCGATAGGAAACTATTCAAGTTTGCTTTAGATCCTCCTACTTTAGCGTCGGAGGAACAAGGAAGGCTTGGCTCGTGGGCTCGGGATCTCAAGGACTGGGGGGCAAGCCCGGGCGTTACGGACTGGGACTACTTCACGCTAGATGATTTATCTAGCTTTGAAAGCACAGACTTTGAATATTTGTCTGTTTATTTTCATAGTTATGACCGAAAACGCCCGGGGAAAATAAACAGACACGAGTCCGAAATACAAGATCCTGAACCGCTCACAGATGAGGCTAGGACTTCTCGATGTAGAGCTCGATCTCTTTCACAAGAACCGTCTCCAAATGATTTGGTAAGGCCATCTAAAAGGACCCATTATGACATCTCTCCACTTTTCACAGTGATACCTCAGGTTCGTGGTCTTTTGGCTTAGAGCAACTTTCAACATTAATCGTCCTAAATGGATCGCGCAATAGCCCCATTTTTACTCTGCCCGTTTTACAGATTGCCTGCCTAAAACTGCGTTGCGCGTTGTGCGTTAAGCCCTATGCCACAACAGACAAAGTACCATTTTCACCATATAATTCCAAATCAGTCCTGGAATATCTGGATACTCCTTATGCTAGGGGAGCTTAGCTTATTCCTGTACGTGGAAGACCACCCTGGGATGACGCGACCGTCGCAGTCATATTGGATCCACTACCGGGCGAGGACATTCTGCTTCCCAGTGGCCCAGTATCAGGGGTAGCGAACAATTCTCAGATCGCTTGGACACACCCAGCTCTGCTCGCTTTCTGGGATTTTCTTATATCTCTCAGGGAAGCAAATACTCTTGGACCTATCTCGCTCAAAACTGAGATCCTCCAAGCAGAGTGCTATGTCTTGAAGACGCTCGACTGGAATTTGAGTTATCCCAGCCCAATGCACTTCTTGAGGCGGATCAGCAAGGCAGACGAATATGACGTGAAGGCTCGCACGATTGTCAAGTACTTCCTCGAGATTCAATGCCTAGAGTGGAGATTGTTGGCTGCACCTCCATCATTGATAGCTGCTGCTGCTATTTGGCTTGCCAGGCTGATTTTGGGTCAGGATAAGTGGGTGAGTAGACTGACAGGATGATTATCCGCATTCGTTTGATCACTAAATTTATATTAGACTCCGAATCTTGCTCATTACTCGTCCTACGCCGAGAGTACCATCATTCCTACCGCAAACTTGAAAAAGATTATCTGTAATGGTAACATCATCGGTAGTGGAAACGACAGGAGAAAAGGCGTTTGATGTAATATGAACGTCATACATCCAACGCACCAAAGGCTTGCTGCATCCTCATGTTACAATGTATACATAATGGAAACGCAGCATCCTCGTGTTTCATTTTATGTAAGTCGGCTGCAACTGCTTTAAAATCTCGCTGTTTATGTTTGCCCTCCCAGCATTGACGTGACCCAACATTCCTCAGCCAGATGCCTCAACACGGTGCAAGACGACATGACGGCAATTCAGACTCAGATGAACAAGAGAACTTTAATCGTGTCTTTTCTTCAGAAACAACTGACGACTGTGATGATTCGGAGGAGAGCTGTGACGAACCTGGCAACAAGAAGCATACATTTGAGGGCCAGTCATCTAATAACAGCCATAGACAGGATCTCCTGGCACTTGCAATGCCGGGAGATGGTGCATCCATTGCAGAGCTCAGAAAAGTAAGTAAATGCGTTGCCTTCTGCGGATCATAAAAATCAAGCATCATCACAGGCACTTCAGGCTACACAACTGCACTTACATGAGATCCGCAATGACAACAGGCGGCTGAAAAGGGACAATGCATTGCTTAAGGCAAAGCAGCCTACACGAGCTCAGCATCAGCTGTCCCAAAGGAGGTCATTGCTCACGATGAGGAGATTGGGGAAGCTCGCAAAGAAATA